GGGCTCCAGCCCGGGGGCTGGTGTGGGCAGAGCCCGGGGCTGCCCAGGGGACTGGTCCCAGCTGGAGGAAAACCCCTGGCCAGGCACAGAGGGGTTAATGCCGGGCTCCCGCCAGCACAGACCCCGGGGAGCAGCAGCTGCTCAGCCTGGGCTCCCAGATAATACAAAGGCAGCAGCAGTGTCTGGTCTGTGTCAGCACCCCACCCCCAGTCGCTGCCCCACCCCCAACCTGTGCCAGAGCCCCGCCCCCAGGAGCTGCCCCACCCCCAGTCTGTGCCAGAGCCCACTCCCAAGAGTTGCCCCGCCCCCAGTCTGTGCCAGAACCCCGCCCCCCAGGACCTACCCCAGCCCTAGGGTCTGGGCTTTGTTCTCCCAGCTCCTGCCTCCTGGTCCCGCCCCCCCCAGGTGCTCCAGCCCTGGCCTGTGCCCGGCAAACCCTGCTGGGGCTCACACAGCGCATGCACAGTAACAGCTGCTGAAAACCTCCCTTACCTTAGCTGAAGGGGACAGAAGCGGCCCCTGGGCTGGCTGGGAGATGTAATTCCTGACTCTCCCAGGAGTGGAAGTGACATTGGGCAGGGAGGACGAAGAACTGGGCTGGGAACGTGTGCAGGGCGCTGTGGCTCTGCCTGGATTGTGTGGGGCCGTTGAAGCCTCTCCCGGAGCTGGAGAAGAGTTATGTGTCTCCCAGCTCTGGGCATGCACAGACTGGGGGTGGGGGGAGGAGGAGAGTCCCAAATGTGCAGAGGCAGCGCTCACCCGCTGCTGCTCTCTGGTGCTGCGGGGCTGGGCTAAGCAGGAGGGTCTGTGCCGGGGAGACCTTCATTAACCCTCCCGTGCCTGGTCCGGGCCCTGCTCCCGCTGAAGCCGCCCTGGGGCCGCCCCGGGCTCCGCCTGCCCCGCTGTGGAGCTGCAGCCTCCAGGTACCGGAGTGAGCCCCGGGGTCGAGGGCTGGGGCCGGGCGGTGACTCTGCCCCAGTGTCCGTGGGGGGGACCCGGCATCTCATAGCGCCCAGATCTGCTCCCTGGGGGAGCATGCTTGGGGGGGGCTCGGAACTGCTCTAACAGCAGGAGCCCAATGCCCTGCCGGGCCTGGCCAGGCTCTGCCCTGGGGCACCATGGGAGGGTCCCGGGGGAGGGGACCAGCCCCAGTGGGGTCCCTGATGTGTGGCCAGGCGGGGGGGAGAAGTGAGACCGGGCTGGGGGGGAAAAGGGAGGAGGGGAGACCTGGGAAAAGGGGCAGATGGAAAAATGTCTGTGCATCCCACAAATGGCAGGGGGAGGAGAAGAGCAGGTGACCTCCAAGGAGTGGGGAGGGAAAGGGGGGGGCTAAGATCCCTTCGGATTTACCCCTGCCCTCTCCCGTGGGGACCCCCATCCTCTCCAGTCCTGCCCCCTTTCCGTGTAAGGAGAATGTATAAGAAGTTATGTATTTATATTGGAAATTATGTTTGTAAAGACTGAAACAGGTTCCTTTCAACCAGGAGGTAACAGACCTTTCCCTCTCTGTCCGGTCATGTGCGCACTGGGCATCGCACATCTCACAACAGGAGCCTGTTTGTACACTCAGTCGAATGCTAATTGAAGAGTTTGTGAAATCTTCAAGAGAAGAAAATGTATGGGGAAAAAATAAAGAGCAGGATCCTGTTACAAGTGAAGACAATGGCATGTGGGGGGATATTTGGGGGGGCAGAGATACACCCTGCATCTTCCCCCGTGGAGGCAAGCTGACAGCGTGACTTGTCTCATGAAAGGAAGATCACTGCCAAGCCTGGCTGTAAAATGCCAGAGGGACTTTGCATGGGTTTTGCTCTATAACATGAAAGGATCTAGTTAGGTAGGTAAGTCTAGGTTCTAGAAAGCATGTTATGATTTTACTTGATGTGTAACCATTTGTTCCCAAGACTTCTACTTGCTACCACTTGAATCTCTATCCTTGGTTAAACAAACTTTAACTTATTTTCACTAGAAACACATCTGAGTGCTGTGAGTTAAATGGCATCATGATCTGAGTGGTAACTGGTAAGCTGGGATACACTGCTTCTTTGGGAGCAGCGAATCCATCAACACTATGAGTGTCCAGGGGGCTGGAAAGTCCAGGGAGACATTTGGAGAGCTCAGAGGTTGGAGCGTGTCTATTGCTAACAGGAACCAGGGCATGAAAATGAGGTCCAGTGGTGAGAACCATAAGTGGTCAGGCCTACGTGGTCAAGCCAAAATCAGATGCCAGGGTCCGGCTCAAAACACCAGGAAGCATAGAGCAGGGTGACAAGGCAGGGACTGGGAACAAGGCATGGTCTCTCTCAGAAATAGGTCAGGGATCTGCCTTGCTGCACAAAGGGCTTCCCAGTATTTCCAGGTTTAAACAGGAAGCCTGCATCAGAGGTCCAGAGAAGAGCTGCCAGTCATCTCTCCTGTGGGTGGCACTTCCTGCAGTGACTGGTCTCCCAGGATGGGCATTGCCAACAGTTCTGCCAAGGTTGCCACAGAACCGCCACCCATCTGGGACTCTGCAGACCCATATTCCTGTCCCAGTAATTTTCATACACCAACCCCGCATCATCTTCTCCCAAGGAAGGAACCTCCCACTGTCTCCTATCCAATGAGCCCCCCAACTGTCACACCCTTCATGCATTTTGGAAGTTATTATAGCAGATCATCAGCTCTACCATAGCTAAAGTTCAACATTACGTTCTCTATAAAGATCAGCTGTTCTAACTGGTCTAAAATCCCCTTGTTTGCTAAGAATCTCTTGAAATTTGTTGCTTATCATGGGGGTGCTGAGCAGGGCTAGTGGCCCAAATATGGGGTGCTTTGATGAAGAGTTTCCTGAGATACAGCCCTCCCCAAAGCAGCTTTTCACATTATCAACTGGCTCCTATAACACGGTCTTGCACAAACCTGGGGCTGAAAGTATGGTTGTAATTATTCACCAAGTGATCTCAGTCCCTTGACATTTATCTCTGCTAGTACATGGCACCCAGTGCCTCCTTGGGGAAGCCGTATAGAAAACACTAATAACTGCAGAGGTTGGAATTTCCGATTGGCACAAGGAAAAGGGTAGAGTCAGAGAGCCTGAAACGCACATGAAATGCAGCAAGACTAAGAGCAAATCTACCCTACAGAATTAAGTCAACGAACAGCCACCGCAGTAATTGAATTGGTTTTACATGTGAGCACTACGCTCCTCGTGTTGGTGGTGCACATTCTCACCAGGAGCCCTTGCACTGATTTAACTGCAAGCATGGGGCATTGTGGGATGGTTTCTGAAAGGCAGCAGCAGTCACCGTAAGCAATGAAACGTCTATGCTGACTCTGTGTCGAACTAACTACATAAACATAGAGGAGGTGGAGTTATTAAGTCTAGTGGAGGTGGAGTTATTAAGTCGGTGCAATGGGCAAGTAACGTTGGTGGGAACTACGTTTTAGTGTAGACGCTTACAAAGTTCGGTCAATGTAAGCTGCCTTATGTTGACCTAACTCTATAGGGTAGACCAGGTCCAAGGCTCTTGTTAACAGACAGAGGGTTTCCAGCAATCTAACCTCACTGTAATTCAATGGCTCTAGAGAACATGCTGCGGCCATTGAACCTGAGCTCCACCCATGCGTTTGAGTGAGACCCCTACCACTGATACCTTTCAGACAATGTGTCTTGTGCATTTTTCATGCATCCTGCAGGAGTTCCTCTTGGAAGTTCTGCCCTCTGATACCAACATTTCTGGGTTAAGAGGAGTATTTTCTAAAATCCACGTGCAGACTCTGACCTGGTTTGCTCTTAAAAGCTTTGCCAGTCCAGCTCTGTTGTTTAAGGCTGTGAAAGAGTACACACACACACACACACACACACACACACACCATCCAACACTGCTCTGCTGGCAAAAACTCAATTATAGACACAGCTATAGTGGCAAAAACATCCATTTTTTAAAACAGGAAACTAAATGCTTATAAGCTACATTAACGCAGAGTTAAGGTTGCCCAGTGCTGTTTCCTGCCTTGCACCGTATGGACGGTGACTAAACTTAAACGTCTGCAAACCAGGAAATAAGAAGTTAATGTAAACGCCACCCTTCCAATGCAGCCTTAACTTTGCCCGCAACCCTTAACCCTCCAGCTGGCAAGAACCACTGATATTGGTTCTGTGTGGGCGGTGCAAAGGTCAAACTGCCACAGGAACTCAGGTATTCAGCTCAATGCAGTAATAACGGGATGAATTCTGTGGTCTGTGTTATAAAGGACATCAGAGTAGATGACCTAATAGTCACATCTGGCCTTAAAATCTATGAACTTATAATCGATATGAGGAAAAATTAAGAGAACGTGCCACGGTCTGTGTTGTGTTCACAGATGGGAATCCCAGCATGTATCCGCATGCCCTCCAGCTGTGTGCACTGGGTCAGTTGTAGGTGTAACTGGATGATGAAGGGATTGGTTGGAGCAGCTGGTCAGAGCTGTGACTGTGCTATGAAGAGAGGTGCATGTGAAACTTGGGGGGGCAATTCTGCCTCATTTCCGTGCTGAGTGTTGTAGGCTTTGTCAGCAAAGGTGTCCAAGGGTGTGTTCTTGCCATGGGGATTGTCAGCACTCTGGTGGCGTATGTTCTAGTGATCTGTGAGGCTTAGTGAGGGGTAAGTGAAGGCAGTGACTGAAAAGGAAAACTCAGGTTGAGGGCAAAGGGGTGGTAACACTCTGCAAGTCTCAGATGGTCTGTGTGCAGGAGGTTCAGTACTGGAGTGCAGGCAGGGGGGAGGAAGCTTCTGTTTGCTGTGATGGAGATGAACCCAAATATTATCTTAGCAAAGAGAAATTGTTAGACATTCTACCGTACTGCTCTGTTCCCAGAGCGTTCTGTAACGGGGAGGAGAGAGGGCTAGTATGTGTGTCACAGGCATGTCAGGATGATGCTGAAACAGGGCAGAGCAGAGGTCGCATTGTGGGGGTGGCGTAAACCTTAACTCTGCATTTCCTCTTCTAAGAACTGAGGAGATGGGAATCCTTACCCAGCGAGGTCACATTCTCATAGTTCTCCTGCATGACATCTCTGTAGAGGACTCTCTGAGCGGGATCCAGCAGAGCCCATTCCCCCTTGGTGAAATACACAGCCACCTCCTTGAAGGTCACCAGCCCCTGAAAGAGCAAGAGTCCCCCACTTAGAACCTGCTGCTCTAATCACAACCCCACTATTCATGGGGGAAATGAGCCAATCAAATGGATACTCTGAGATAGACACAGTCAGTAGAGTCCTATCCCCATACTGCTGAGAGCAACCAGGAGGCATCTGGGTGAGGGGAGAAAGAGAGAGACCCTTGTCTCTCCCAGCAGATCCATTTCACACCTACTAGCAGAGGCTGATACAGGAGATGGAGCCCCCAGTAGGGTCCAGGCAGAGCCCTATGGTAGGAATCCCAACACCCTCCCCACTCCCAGCAGCTGGATGTGAGGGGCTGGGACATCATCCCTACGCCTTCCTACATCTTTCCTTGTCACACCAGTCTCTGGCTAGGAGGTTGAGGGTTCAGCACTGGAAGTCTGGTCTGTTTTCCCAGCCCTGCCCAGAGGGTTGCTTTGTCTGTTTCCTGTTTCACAAATTAGGGAATTTTCTGTCCCAACACCCAAGCATTTGTTCTGAGGATCTAGGCCCATGTTAAACAAGTCCCAGCAGGTTTGTCATACTCTGCTCCCCTCCCTTTTCTCACCCAGAGTATTTCCTGCCCCCCCCCAAACCTAATTCCCCAGAAGTTGCCACCTCTTCAGTATTTACTGCCCCTCTCCCTCCAGCAGGAACCCACCAGCAACCCCCCCAATAGCCCCTACCTGAGCTGGCTCCACTGCAGCCCTTCCTCTCCCCTGTTCCTTGGGAGGATGGGATGAGCTGGAGCGAGATGTGGGTGTCATTCTGCAGCCTGGCAGGGCGAGAAGGTTGTAGAGGTTTAAGAACTGGCTTTAGTTCATTCCCCAGGCTCTTTCCCTGCAGGCAGAGATTGCAGATTCTGCCGTGGTGGGAACATGCTCAGTCCCCATAATCCAGCACAGCCCTTGCCCCTGTCCTCCAGCCTCCCCCTCCAAGCCCTCCCCTGCAACCAGTGCTAAACCCATCAAGACATTTTCAAACCCTCCCATAAGAACATAAGAATGGCCGTACTGGGTCAGACTAAAGGTCCATCTAGCCCAGTATCCTGTCTACCGACAGTGGCCAATGCCAGGTGCCCCAGAGGGAGTGGACCTAACAGGCAATGATCAAGTGATCTCTCTCCTGCCATTCATCTCCACCCTCTGATAAACAGAGTCTAGGGACACCATTCCTTACCCATCCTGGCTAATAGCCATTAATGGACTTAACCACCATGAATTTATCCAGTTCTCTTTTAAATACTGTTATAGTCCTAGACTTCAAAACCTCCTCAGGTAAGGAGTTCCACAAGTTGACTGTGCGCTGCATGAAGAAGAACTTCCTTGTATTTGTTTTAAACCTGCTGCCTATTAATTTCATTTGGTGACCCTAGTTCTTGTATTATCGGAATACGTAAATAACTTTTCCTTATCCACTTTCTCCACATCACTCATGATTTTATATACCTCTGTCATGTGCCCCCTTAGTCTCCTCTTTTCCAAGTTGAAGAGTCCTAGCCTCTTTAATCTCTCCTCATATGGGACCCGTTCCAAACCCCTAATCATTTTAGTTGCCCTTTTCTGAAACTTTTCTAGTGCCAGTATATCTTTTTTGAGATGAGGAGACCACATCTGTACGCAGTATTCGAGATGTGGGTGTACCATCAATTTATATAAGGGCAATAATATATTCTCTGTCTTATTCTCTATCCCCTTTTTAACGATTCCTAACATCCTATTTGCTTTTCCGACCGCCTCTGCACACTGTGTGGACATCTTTAGAGAACTATCCATGATGACTCCAAGATCTTTTTCCTGACTTGTTGTAGCTAAATTAGCCCCCGTCATATTTTATGTATAGTTGGGGTTATTTTTTCCAATGTGCATTACTTTACATTTATCCACATTAAATTTCATTTGCCATTTTGTTGACCAATCACTTAGTTTTGTAAGATCTTTTTGAAGTTCTTCACAGTCTGCTTTGGTCTTAACTATCTTGAGCAGTTTAGTATCATCTGCAAACTTTGCCACCTCACTGTTTACCCCTTCCTCCAGATCATTTATGAATAAGTTGAATCGGATTGGTCCTAGGACTGACCCTTGGGGAACACCACTAGTTACCCCTCTCCATTCTGAGAATTTACCATTAATTCCTACCCTTTGTTCCCTGTCTTTTAACCATTTCTCAATCCATGAAAGGATCTTCCCTCTTATCCCATGAAAACTTAATTTACATAAGAGCCATTGGTGAGGGACCTTGTCAAAGGCTTTCTGGAAATCTAAGTACACTATGTCCACTGGATCCCCCTTGTCCATATGTTTGTTGACCCCATCAAAGAACTCTAATAGATTAGTAAGACACGATTTCCTTTTACAGAAACCATGTTGACTATTGCTGAACAGTTTATGTTTTTCTATGTATCTGACAATTTTATTCTTAACTATTGTTTCGACTAATTTGCCTGGTACCGATGTTAGACTTATCGGTCTGTAATTGCCAGGATCACCTCTAGAGCCCTTTTAAAATACTGGTGTTATATTAGCTAACTTCCAGTCATTGGGTACAGAAGTCCATTTAAAGGACAGGTTACAAACCTTAGTTAATAGTTCCGCAACTTCACATTTGAGTTCTTTCAGAACTCTTGGGTAAAGGCCATCTGATCCCAGTGACTTGTTAATGTTAAGTTTATCAATTAATTCCAAAACCTCCTCTAGTGACACTTCAATCTGTGACAGTTCATCAGTTTTGTCACTTACAAAAGCCGGCTCAGGTTTGGGAATCTCCCTGACATCCTCAGCCGTGAAGACTGAAGCAAAGAATCCATTTAGTTTCTCCGCAATGACTTTATCGTCTTTAAGCGCTCCTTTTGTATCTCGATCATCAAGGGGCCCCACTGGTTGTTTAGCAGGCTTTCTGCTTCTGATGTACTTAAAAAACATTTTGTTATTACCTTTGGAGTTTTTGGCTAGCCATTATTCAAACTCCTCTTTGGCTTTTCTTATTACATTCTTGCACTTAATTTGGCAGCGTTTATGCTCCTTTCTATTTGCCTCACTAGGATTTGACTTCCACTTCTTAAAGGAAGTCTTTTTATCTCTCACTGCTTCTTTTACATGGTTGTTAAGCAATGGTGGCTCTTTTTTAGTTCTTTTATTGTGTTTCTTAATTTGGGGTATACATTTAAGTTGGGCCTATACTATGGTGTCTTTATAAAGCGCCCATGCAGCTTGCAGGGATTTCACTTTAGTCACTGTACTTTTTAACTTCTGTTTAACAAACCCCCTCATTTTTGCATAGTTCCCCCTTTTGAAATTAAATGGTCTTCCCACCACAGGGATGTTGAATGCTATTGTATTATGGTCACTATTTCCAAGCGGTCCTGTTATAGTTACCTCTTGGACCAGCTCCTGTGCTCCACTCAGGACTAAATCTAGAGTTGCCTCTCCCCTTGCGGGTTCCCGTACCAGCTGCTCCATGAAGCAGTCATTTAAAGTATCGAGAAATTTTATCTCTGCATTTTGTCCTGAAGTGAAATGTTCCCAGTCAATATGGGGATAATTGAAATCCCCCACTATTATTGAGTTCTTAATTTTGATAGCCTCTCTAATTTCCCTTAGCATTTCATCATCAGTATTACTGTCCTGGTCAGGTGGTCTATAATAGATCCCTAATGTTACATTCTTAGAGCATGAAATTTCTATCCATAGAGATTCTATGGAACATGTGGATTCACTTAAGATTTTTACTTCATTTGATTCTACATTTTCTTTCACATATAGTGCCACTCACCCCCACCCCCTTCCCCGCACAACCTATTCTGTCCTTCCAATATATTTTGTACCCTGGAATGACTGTGTCCCGTTGACTGTCCTCACTCCAGCAGGTTTCTGTGATGCCGATTGTATCAATATCCTCCTTTATCACAAGGCACTCTAGTTCACCCATCTCATTATTTAGACTTCTAGCATTTGTGTAGAAGCACTTTAAAAACTTGTCACTGTTTATTTGTCTGCCCTTTTCTGATGTGTCAGATTCTTTTTTATGTGAATGTTTATCCTCTGATCTGACCCTTAGATTATCCTCTTCCATCCTCTGCTCCTGACTAGACCCTGGAGATTCTCTATCATTAGACTCTCCCCTAAGAGAAGTCTCTATCCAATCCACATGCTCCTCTGCAGCCATCGGCTTTCCCCCATCTCCTAGTTTAAAAACTGCTCTGCAACCTTTTTAATGTTAAGTGCCAG